TCCTCTACATAGCCGTTTAGATCTCCACTTGATTCATCTTCATTCCCAAAAAGACAATTTTCGCTTTCAGTATATCCGGATATGAATTAATAAAAGAGTTTGTTCAGCTACAAATTTCGAGTAAAATGTAATGACCACCAACTCCAAAGAAATGACATCAATAAAATTGAAAAGCCTGATGCTTTTCGACGTCACTCATGTGCAAAACTGAAAATAACCAGCAATCTTATTAAGCATTGTGGGTAATAACTATACAGCCAACGTGCGCGTAAAATTATTACTCATAACCCATTATAAAACAAAAAAAAATAAGTGGATTGCATTTAAAGCTATTTGAACACTAAAAAAACTTTCTGCGTATGCGTGACTTTACAATTCATACACGGATTAGGTAATAAATTGAAATTGAATTCGGTACCTGTGTACATTTAATTGAGTTTTAAAGTAAGTTGTATTCGTGTGGGTACTTATAATTTTGTTCAGTAATGTTCAAATTTAACAAACGTAAATATAATTCATTGTCTTATTCGTACATGGTAATTACGGTTTTAAAGACATTTAGCCCAAAACTAATTGTAGGTAAGTATTAAATCTCTATTCGTATTAAAGGTAAGCAAAATCGAAATTTGGTATATGTAGGTTTAATGCTACTGACATGAATGTAACTCCATTCTGTATACTGCGGATACTGCAAAAATACGATATTTTGAAACTCAAAAGAAAATTGCAAACATCCCAATATTTCTTAAGGACAAAATACTCCGATGTTCTACAAGGGTATACCAAATTCTCTTTTAGCAAAAACGTATATATATAACAAAAATTTTGAGAAATATTAGTACCAAGAGAAAGGGGCACGAATGGTACACTAGCCTTAGGCGTTCGCTCTATCGGCAATAGTAGAGCATACGATCAGAACCGGACAAAGATTTTGTTTGAGCAAGTTACAATTCTAGAAAACACTTCGCAGTTTTTCGAAATAAAAACTGTCAAGCTCCAGAAATTTTAAACATTTCAAATAGTTTCAATAATATCAATCGAAAAGGAACTTATACAGTCACGACATTTCCCGGAGCATCTTGATTGGTTACCATGGTTCCAATCGAAAACACTCGATTTCCTACAAAGAGAATTGGAAGCAATGTATTCAAACATCCATTATTTTTGCTACGTATATACTTAGTAACACACGCTCGTTTGATTTACGGATAACATCATTATTTTCTCTGGAAAATGTAGACTATGATGTTTGTGTTCTACTATTTATAATTGTATTATTTATTGAAATGGCAATGCCTTTCACCTGCCTTGGAAAATATCTGCAAAAGAAATACATAAATCTAATTGAGTGAAACAATTAAAAATAACAATTTGCCTTTAACAGCATTATTTTATGTATATATTCGCAATTTTAAACTTTTGTAATATAGTTTTCTTGTTAGTATTGTACTATTTTAGAATAGTTATTTATGCCACAAGCAAAATTGTTATAAGTTTGTTATATTGTTCACAGAAAAAGGTAAAGTGTCGATGTCATTCGATGCGCTTTCACTCGTAATCATTTCTCTTTTTTTATTTTGATCTTAGCCAAAAGGCCGAGAAGCGATGGTTCAGTCGTCGTTTGGCAGCCGCGCTGTTCGGACGTGTCTTTACTTTCTTAACAGCACGACAACGAATCGAAAAGTCGTAAGTAAAAGTCGGCCGTCTACCATAACAGACTATTGGCTGGGAGGTACTGAAATGTCCAACTCCTTCAGTCCTCTCGGCGATAATCAGGACGATAACAATTCCGAGGAAAAATCCTTCCAGGATAGCACACCAACCAGAAAGCCACCTCCGATATTCGTCTGCAAGGTCAACGTCGTGAAACCACTGCAGCAACTACTGGATGAGGTCGCCAAGGAGCAGTATAGCTTCAAGATCATCGGTACAAATCAAGTGAAAATACAGCTGCTAAAGACGGAGCTCTTCATTCCCGTCATAGAAAGATTAAAAAGTAAAAAAACCGAAATTTTCACATACCAAAGAAAGCAAGAGAAACCTTTTAAGGTTGTGCTTAGAAACATGCATCACTCTGTTGATGTAGACACTCTTAAAAAAGAAATCGAAAGCTTCGGTCACCATGTGCTGAGGATCTCAAATATTAAACGGAGCAAAGATTCCAGCCCAACACCTCTATTTGATATAGACTTAGTTGTAAATGGGAAAAACAAAGACATTTTTAAAATTAATAGACTAATGCACTGTGTTGTTAGCATCGAATCCCCGTATAGAAAGAGAGACATTCCTCAATGTCACAGGTGTCAAGAGTTCAATCACACGCAGAAGTATTGTTTCAAAGTGCCAGTGTGTGTAAAATGCGCGAAAAATAACGATACGAAAAAGTGCCCTTCCAAGGGAAAAATAAAAGAAGTGGTTTGTGCAAATAGCGGTGTTAATCACCCCGCGAGTTATAAAGGCTGTCCGGCGCGCAAAAAACTTCAACAAAAAATGTTCCCATCGTTGAGACCAAAATTACGAACAAATCAACAGCAGCAGCAGCAGCAACAACACAATACATACATTACTCCAGGTTTCACTTACTCTCAAGTCATCGGCTCCAAAGGTGAGACAGACAACAACGTAAGCATACAGTCAAATCAAAACAAAACAGAGAGCACCAGTATTGCCCGTCGTGTGGATAAACTCGAGGGTCTCATATCTCAAATGATGACTCGTATAGATTCACTTATAAACCTAATCTGATTCCCCGTTACCCGTTACAACCATGGTAGGCGCAGAACCTACCATCGACAGTTGATAAGGCAGACATTTGAAAGATGCGTCGCCGGTGCGAGACCATGCGATCAGCAGAAAGTTATTCAGATTCACCAGTGGGTACGGCGACGAGCGCGAACCCGCCGCCGATTGGTTTTGATCTAATAAAAGCGCTCCTTCCGTCTCCGGTTGGAGCTCTGTTTGCAAACTACGTTATTGGGCAACAACGTTAACAAAAATGAAAATGCCGCTTAAAATAGCAGCGTGGAATTCAAACGGTTTAGCACAAAGATTTCATAAATTGAAAGCTTTTTTTGACGGAACAAGATATAGACATAATGCTTATTTCTGAAACTCATTTCTCTAGTAAAAATTTTTTAAAAATACAAAATTACAGAACTTATTTTACTAATTTTCCTGGCAATAAAGCACACGGTGGCACGGCAATAATAATTAAGACAACAATTCAACATCACGAAATGGATAACTTTCGAGAAAAATATCTTCAGGCGACCAGCACAGTAATCAAGGACCAGCAAGGACCGCTGGCAGTTGCTTCTATATACTGCCCCCCCCCAAGTTCAACATCAGTCAAGAAATGTTTACTGAATTTTTCAAAACATTAGGCAACAGATTCATTGCCGCAGATGACTATAATGCTAAACACCCATGGTGGGGGTCTAGGCTAAATACACCAAATCCAAAAGGGCGCAACCTTTATGCTACGATAATGAAAGAAAATTTTTCGGTAATATCTACTCGGGAACCCACTTACTGGCCTACAGATAGAAACAAGATACCTGACTTGATAGATGATAGATTTTGCAGTCATCGGAGGTATCAATAATAATTATCTCAAAGCAGTCATGCTTTGACCTTTCGTCCGACCATTCACCAATAATACTAAACGTATTTAAGCACTTTTATAATGTTCAGACTCCCAATCCAATCATTAATAAAAATACCGATTGGAATGTATTTAAACAGGAAATAGAGAACACACTTAACTGCAACATTTGTCTAAAAAGTCATTTTGATTTGGATTATGCTATCGAGCATTTTATTTCTAATATTCAGAACGCACTAGCCGTAGCAACGCCCCACTACAGTCCCCGAATACAAAAACAGAGACTGCCCCTTCAAATTGTAAAAAAAATTAAGGAGAAAAGAAAGCTGCGTAGTATTTGGCAAACAACCATAAGTCCAATACATAAAAATAACTTAGATAGATCTATCAAGGAATTGAAAATTATGTTGCAAGAAAACAGCTCATCTTTTTGCTTCGCATCTGAGTAATATTTTCAAACCTTACGATAGAACAATTTCAATAGAAGATGAAAACAAATTACTCACAAACGATACTACAGTAATAAACGATAATAATGTTAATATCGTCAAACTCAAAGAAATCGCAGATATCATTAAAAATATTAACAATAAAAAAGCGCCAGGTTACGATTGAATTCCTGGAAAAGCGTTCAAAGAATTACCAAACAAGGCTGTCAGATTTATTACGATTGTAACGAATGCAATCTATCGCCTTTCATATTTTCCAGAACAAAAAAAAAAGCGCAAATAATCCTTATTCTGAAGCCTGGAAAAGATCCAACAATAGTTACCTCGTACAGACCCATAAGTCTACTTCCAGTGTTTTCAAAAATAATTGAAATTACAATATCAAACAGATTAAATAAGGTTATTGAAGAAAAGGAACACATTCCAAATTATCAATTCGGTTTTCGCAAAAAACATGCTACCATCGAACAAGTAAAAAGAATAACTACAATAATAAGAAAAGCTTTTGATAAAAAGGGGTACTGTAATGCTGTCTTCTTAGATGTGTCGCAAGCTTTTGATAGAGTATGGCACGAAGTAGGAGAAAACAGCTTAATCTAATTTTTAAAAAAATGTACTGGTTATTAGGAAGAAGATCTCAAATGTCAATTGAAAACAAAATTCGTTTATATTTGACTATCCTTAAACCAGTATGGACTTATGGAATTCAACTGTGGGGCACCGCATCGAACATTAATATTATAGAAAGATTTCAAACTAAAACCTTAAGAAATATCCTCAATGCTCCATGGTATGTGCCAAACGATCAAATCTATAAAGATCTGAAAATTCCACCTGTTCAAGCAGAAATTCTACGCCACTACTACAGCTACAAAAAAAGGCTATCAGTTCATCCAAACCAGCTTGCCAGAAAATTACCAACTTTAACCCTACAGTGGTCGCGCGGATGACACTTGTCATCCACCACTTTTAATTTGCTGATAGAGTTGGTATAGGTTTAGGTGGGGAACTGTGGTTCCCAATAGCTGCTTATTATGTATACGCATGTGGTATGAACGAGTAGTTTTGAATTGATTTTTAGTAATAAGGCTCCTAGTGTGAGTTAAAGTTACCCGGAGGACAGGTGTCATCCACGCGACCATTGACGTTAGTGTTGGTTTCATAGACACTGTGTATATTTTCCACCATTTCTCATCGCTGAAGGTACCAATGCAGTTTATATTTTACATTAGTTCAACACAGCATTTTAGGATCCATATTGGAGGAAATTTTCAGCTATGGAGGACGCCAAAAAAAGAAAATTGACTTCTGATGATCCAAGTGTCTGGCTGAAATGGTTCGAGGAAATGAGTGAAGAAGAAAATGAGAAGGATGAAGAAAGTTGTTCCGAAATTGAAGCAGATATTTTAGAAGAAAGTCCACATGATACTGCATCCGAGCAAGAGGCGGGTGATTTAGAAAGCGATAACGACTGTGATGACATCAGCGACAGTGAGTCGGAAAATTTTTACATCGGTAAAGATAAATTTACTAAATGGTGCAAAGTTAAGCCTCGACAAAATGTAAGAACACGTTCCTGCAACATAATCATTCATTTACCTGGCCCAAGAAGAGAAGCGCATGGCGTGCAGAAAGAAATAGATATTTTGAAATTCTTTTTAGACGATAACGTTTTTCGCATGATTGTTGCTTCAACAAACATCAAAATTGGAGTTGTGCGAGAAAAATATTGTAGGGCTCGTGACGCCGCTGATACGGATGTGACTGAAATTTGCGCATTCATTGGACTATTGTACCTTATCGGATCGTTGCGTTGCTCCAGAAAGAACATGCACGACTTGTGGGATAACTCAAGAGGCAATGGACTTGAATCGTGTTATTTAACGATGAGTGAGAACCGTTTCAAGTTTTTGCTGCGATGTCTACGATTCGACGACATACGAGACAGACATATGCGAAAAGAAGTTGACAAATTGTGTTCGATCAGAGATTTGCATGAACTATTAATAAATAATTTCCAAAGATACTTCTGCGCCAGTGAGTATTTGACAGTAGACGAACAGTTATTAGCTTTCAGGGGAAATTGCTCGTTTCGCCAATATATACCGAGCAAACCGGCTAAATATGGTTTGAAAATTTTTGCTTTAGTTGATTGTAAAACTGGCTACACTATAAACTTAGAACCCTATGTTGGAAAACAACCGGAAGGTCCATATCAAGTGGGTAACTCTGGAGAAGAAATTGTATTACGCTTATGTAATCCTGTTGAAGGCACGAATAGGAATATTACTGCTGATAATTGGTTTACGAGTGTTACGGTATCTGAAAGACTGCTATTAGAGAAAAAACTCACATACGTTGGAACAATGCGCAAGAACAAACGCGAGATACCTAAGGAATTTTTACCCAATAAAAGTATTCCTGCAAAATCGTCAATTTTTGGATTTGGCAAGAATAGTACCCTAGTATCATATTGTCTTAAGAAGGGTAAAAGTGTAATTCTTCTCTCGAGCATGCATTTTGACGATACTATAGATGTATCTACCGGTGATCATAAAAAGCCGGAAATTGTAACCTTTTATAACATGACGAAAGTGGGTGTTGATTTAGTTGATCAGCTGTGCCAGAAATATGATGTATCAAGAAATACTCGACGATGGCCTCTAGTTATGTTTTACAACTTGTTGAACATATCAGCGATCAACGCATTCGTCATATACAAAGCCAATACTCGAGAATCAACACAAATTCAAAGGAGGATTTTTCTACAAAACATTAGCTGGGAGCTAATTAAACCGCAAATTGAACGTAGGACAGCAGTTCTAACGATTCCAAAGGAAATTAGAAGACGAGCGCGTGTACTGCTGGGCATAGAAGAATCAACAGTTCCTCAAAAGAGACCAGGTACGAGAGGAAGATGTCTTCCATGCGGGAGGCAGAGGAATAAAACTACAAGAAGATGGTGCTGTAAGTGTCAAATTTGGGCCTGTGGCGAACATCTCACGGACATATGTCTACAGTGTTTGGAAAATACAAATTAACTTGTAAAATAACTATCATGTATGTAATAAAAATATTTTTTGAGTTCTGTTGGTAATTAATACTTTCTCTATACCATCAGTAATAAATTCTGATTACCTTGTAACACAAAAAGATATTAAATCCGTAAAGTGGCCCTAAACAAACTGTGGATGACCACTGTCATCCGCGCGATTATGCCCGTCCTAAACATTGACGCGACCGCTGCAGGGTTAAACAACATGAAATCAAGATTGATACGTTATAGAACAATTGAATAATAAATTTTCTATTGTAAACATTGAAACAAAGTAATCATCTATTTTATTTTATTATATGTAATTTGTGTACGGTCAATGGACTGTTACCAAGACGATATTATTTGACCTCTGTACATTATTTTATTTTTATATCTATTTGTAAAATAAAATTTGCTTATTGTCCTAAAAGGACAGATTGTAAATAAATTGGAGTTAAAAAAAAAAATTAATGGTTAAAGGTGTTAAATGTAAAAATGAAGAACAAATTAATTCTGACATATAAAAATATTGGACAGAAACAGAAACGCTCATACGCTAAACATTTCATTTTGTTAGCTTAAATTGACCACACGGTGTGAGTGTGGATTTACTTTTCAATTTCATTGGAAGTAAACAAGTTAATAATTACCATCCAACAAGAAAGAAAGAAATTATTTAATTAACATCAATTAATATTTGGAATAAAAATTAAAATGAAAAACACGAAAAAAAAAAGTTTGATGTCATCACTCCGAATGATAAAGGCTGTTTTATAGCTCCCTGCTGTAACAAAGAAATTGTTCATTTTTGATGATCTTTTTATTTCTCGTTTATCTTTAAATATCACACAAAAAATAAATGAGGAAATCATTGTTCTGTTAAATATAAGTTTTAAACGTATCAAATAAGGTAAGCGGCAAAATCGAAATTTGGTATAGTTATAATGTTACTGACATTGAGATTCATAGAAATAAATTGTAGTATTCCTAAGGGCGTGGCGTACATCCAAATATAATCTTTAATACTTTAAAGATCTGATACGTTCTAATAGTTGTTTTTAAATGTTTATTTAATTATTTATTTAGTCACACTACGATAACGACACACACATAAGAGAGAGATAAAATAAATATATACATATACCAAAATATTACATGGGAAAAAAGGTTCCAAGGTTTTTTGCTGTATATATAACTTGTTTTTTCCTTTCCCTACATAGAGCAACTAATTGCCTAGTTAACTTGTCCAAGGTATTTGATTTCAATTTTTCATGTACCTTAGTATATGACAACATAGATTTTACTTGTAATCACTTTTCTTCATTGTTGTTTCCCAAAAACTACATTTTATGAATCTACCTAGAAATTAACCCTAAATAAGGAACAAAGAAGTTAGTGGTGGTATTCTGTCGAAACCGTCAGACACGGATCGCGATTTCAGTCTTATTCGACAGAAGATAGACCAACTGTACCTGCTGTCTTGATATTAATTCAACAGAATCAAAATCGCGATTTGTGTCTGGCAGTTTCGACACCTATTTCGACCACTATTAACGTAATTGTTCGATTTTGGCAACGTGTCTATTGCGTATGGTGAACTATATGAGTAGATATCCATCAATAGGAATGGATCTTGTTGAACATATTATATTTCAATAAATATAGCATTGTACTACAAATGACATTTAACGGGTCGTTTGTAGAATTTCTGAAATAAGGAACATACATCGAAATCCAACTGCTCATTAGTAATGCAGTTAAGTAATAGACACGAAAAAATTTAATTATAATCGTATATTAAATACTTTGCCTGTCAATGCGTGAAGCAATCTGAAAGGTCAGTGAAATCAGAATGATAAGTGTTCCTCTAGTGTTCTTGCTTTTATAAAAGGAATGTATACCTAATAATCTTCTATTAAAATTCAGGACGTATTTTATTTTGGTTCTTGTTTGAAAGTATAATAATAAAATTGTTCACTCATTCCATTATCCTTTTAGTTCACAAGGTGCCGTCATTACGTAAGGTATTTTCCTCTAGCGATGTCAACGTGAGAAACAAATTTACAATATACCAAAGAGAACACTTTCGCCTTAGTTTTTAACAGATCACTCCCTTCTTTAGTAAAGTAATCCAATTACCGACCTTCTTCCCCATCTTTAATAACTTTAATAATGACGGACGTAAAGGCTTTTAACCGTCTTTTATAAGGATCTTTCGTTTTATGAATTTTTTTTTGAAGTCCTCATTTCACCATTCTCTAAACCGTCTCTTTACTCCAGAAAATATACTCTCAGATATAATTTCTTTTTTTAATTTTTTATTGTATTTTGAAAAGTTCGTTGCAATTGTTTTATTGACTGATTTATCCTTACCTTGAATTGTATAGACTACAAATATTATTTCTATTTACATAATATTAAGTTACTACACAATCCCATTAAACCTTCTACAAATTTTAGTAATAAAAAAAGCTTTCGTGGGAAGTCTCACTATTGTTAACGAATTAACAAATTTTTATGTATACTAGTAAATCGTTGTATCTAACAATCATGTTTTTCTTTTTATAGTGTTTTAAATGAAGCAAATTTGATATCTTAAAATTACATGTTCATAAACTATTTCCTTAAAATGATTCGAAGAACGATATATTTCAAATATAGGGCAAAAACATACGCTTACAAAAAGGTTATATCTAGATACTTAGGATTATGTGAATTAGGTCTGTAAGCAATGAAGTATTTTAAAATTTAACTCAGACAAAAAATTTATTTTGTTGATTAATTTTATTTGTTTTTACGGTGAAGGTGCAGTTTACGGTACTCTTCATAAATTACCTTTGAGTATTACATCGCTCTCAACAACTTGACAAAGTAAATTCATACCATAATGAAGCATATGTAATTTTTAATAAAACGATCTACCGACTTCATCCTTCTATTGATTCTAAGGGAAGATTTGAATTTTGCAGCAACGTAAGTTCGAACCCTCTGTATTGTTAAATGGGAAGTTACAACTAGATTATAGGAACTAAATTGCCACGTCTCGTACATCATTTCTCATGATTTAATGTTAGACGGCCTTTTTATTAAGTGTTTTTTGAGTATATCGCGCAAGCTTTGTTTATAGCTTTCCCTGTACTTGTTACAATGATCTATTTGCATTTGTATTATTTTAATAGATTCCTAGTTGCAAAACACAACTCTTGATTTATAGTGTACAGTTAAAAAATAACAAAAAATCATTTGAATCAAAGTTGTATATATATATATACCATGTAAGATTCGAATCGTATTGCAAGTTGAATGAATCATTGCTGTTTCCAGACGGGTCACGGGACATAGCTCTTTGATTTTGAAAGAACTAATCAAATTATGCATAAAATCAATAATATGACGTCTGAAGCTGGCTAATGGCGACCAAGAAATTTAAATTGTCGCCGTGACATATTCTATGTACTATAGATCAACGGTGGGCAACCTACGGCCCGCATTAGGCTACAAATAGGCCTATCACTTTTTTTCCATCACTGAAATCGAAAATATCCCAGAAAAGTTTCAATTGGAAGTTGTGAATTTCAAACAGAGAACATATTTAAGATAAACATTTAACTTGACACTTTAGCAGGAATTTTATAGAAATGGCTGAAGAATTTCCGAATTTGGTTGATAATGCAAAGTACATTTACTCCTTATTTGGCTCAACTTATCGTTGTGAACATCTCTTCTCAAAAGTGAAGTTTCTAAAATCGAAATACAGAACTTCTGTAACTGACACAGGTTTGGAAAGCAACTTGCGTTTAAGCACTACACAAATCAAACCGGACATTGAATTGCTATCAAAATATATACATCACTAGATATCACATTAATTAATATTTGCCTTCATTTATAATTATTATTTTATAATTAATATTTACCCGTTTCTTTTTTCATTTCAATGTAATTCATTATAAATGATATGAATGCTGTATATATAACTTGTTTTTTCCTTTCCCTACATAGAGCAACTAATTGCCTAGTTAACTTGTCCAAGGTATTTGATTTCATCGAAAAGGAACTTATACAGTCACGACATTTCCCGGAGCATCTTGATTGGTTACCATGGTTCCAATCGAAAACACTCGATTTCCTACAAAGAGAATTGGAAGCAATGTATTCAAACATCNTGAAAAATAAACGTATTTCTTATTTAACTTTGTTTTTTATATTTTCAAAAAAAAAATTTGCAAGAAGAATTTGTCAATCTACTCCGGCCCGCGTTCTTAAAGTCAACCTTAATCTGGCCCCCACTACACAAAAGGTTGCTCATCCCTGCTATAGATCATCGCCTTTACCTGTTCGAAATGATATCATATTTAATTAACAAACTCCTGAATTTTGTTGAGTACTTAGAACATGCTTTTTTGAAAATAGTTCAGCCGTTAAAACAGTTCTCAAAATTCAGTGTGATACTACAAAACTAAATGCTTTTCATTAATTTTTGATTTTTATTTCACCAAGTGCCAAGCATTATAGGTGTGACTGGGGAGAACAGGGTATATGGTGGTTCATCGATTTTTAAGCTATAATTTCGTGACCAGTTCACAGCACACGTTATAACCCATTTATTATCGGTAAAGTTTTACTAGTGCATATGCTACTCAAATTATACACTTACCTTTTACGTATTATGCAACACAATTCTGAATAAATCGATTAAGATGAGCAGAAATACTGTAAATGGCCTCCAGTTACACAAATTCATAGCTGAACATTTTCATTTTTAGAAAAGCCATAGATGTGATCTCTATTTGAGTTTGGGTAGTTTTTAAAACTATTATCTATTTTGAAATACTTTATGCAACCCGCGGTTTAGTTTCCACCGTAGTCGAATCAAATATAGTTACACTGTCTTAGTGTTCTTATAAATATATCTAAGTGCTTTTTTTAACTTACGGTAGACCATAAGTAAAAGCAAAGTGCATGAATAAAACAAAATGCTTTATTACTAAAAGTCGTGTATTGACGCGCAATCAGGGGCGGATTGTGAATTTGTGGGGCCCTGAGCTAATACTACATAGGCGCCTAACTAATTACTCAATTAGTTGTTGTACATAGTGGTGTACATGCGAAAAGGAGGACAATAAAATATTTTGAAATAGTTCTAACAATAACAAAGTCAATTTGCACTTTAA